CCCCAGGTCTTTTTTTTAATATGAACTATTGCCTACCCAAGTCCTAACCTATGCTATGCTTGTGCAATTGTTTTTTTGAACTCAAGTGCTATAACTTACAATTTAGCTGGCAACACAAGACTAAAACACATGAAACAAATGAAAAATGATTAAGTGCTAAACTATAAAACTTCAATAGAAAGTCACAGAAAAGAGATATCATTGTCTAAAGTCATCAGAGAAGATTTTGTGGAAGAGTTGAGACAAACTTGGAAGTGAACAACTGGTTGAGAAGATGATATCTGAGAATGGCTTTTTTTTTTTCTGGACCAAGCTTTAAAATATAAGAATGATAGGCTCCTGAATAGAGATGGAACTGAAAAGAATGAATTTGCCTGGCATCAAATTTAATTTTTAAAATGCTTTAAACTGAAAAGAAAGGAGGAGGAGAAAATTGTCTAGGGTAGGCAACAAGCTAGACACCATAAAGAGTAGCTGTAGTGTGGAAAGAAAACTAGACACAGAGATATGACAAAAGCAAGAGAGAAGCCATCAGCAAAACCCATGGCCTCAGATATTTATATACAAATGCATAAAACATGGGCAACAAGCAAGATGACCTAGAGGTCCTAAAACAAGGACGCACATTTTCCTTCATAGGTATCACTCAGACATCATGAGATGAGACCTATAACTCAAATTTGGAGCTTGAAGGCTATTATTTATGTAAAAGGAACATGACACAGGTGAAAGGCACTATTGGTGGGAGGAGTAGAATTGCATATTACGAAGATGCAGTCTTGGGAGGCAGTCTAGAAATAAAAATGGTGAAGATCATTTAGATGAAGAGCAATGGAGGGAAAAGAAGCTATAATGTTATCAGTTTATGCTACAGGCTACCTGGATGGAAAGAAGGAATAAATGAGAAAATAGAGCACAAACCTAGGACAGAGGCATCTTCTAGTAACCCTAACCCTAATTATTTGGACACCATCTGGAGCTTTCTTTTTTGTCAAAGGCAGAAGAGCTAGCAATTTCTTGGTTTGTCTTAATGATAATTCACTCCTTAAAAGGTAGAGGAACCAGCCAGAGAAATTAATATTCTGGAAATCCAGAGGAAAGCCAGGCATAGTCTGACATGCAACCTAAATTTTAGGAGCTGTTTAGTTGATTAGTCATGTCTATCTTGTCGTGACCCCATTTGGGGTTTTCTTGGCAAAGATACTGGAGTGGTTTGCCATTTCTTTCTCCAGCTCATTTTACAGATGAGAAAACTGAGGCAAACAGGCTTAAGTGACTTGTTCAGGGTCACATAGCTAGATGATTCTTCCTGACACTGGGCCTGGCCTTCTATCCATTACACCATCCAGCTAGCCTAGACACATGGTGAACTTCTCAATCAACTTAAATTTTAAAAAGTCAAGTACAGGGGGCAGCTAGGTGGAGCAGTGGATAGAGCACCAGCCCTGGAGTCAGGAGGACCTGAGTTCAAATCTGGTCTCAGACCAGACACTTGACACTTACTAGCTGTGTGACCCTGGCAAAGTCACTTAACCCCAACTGCCTCACCAAAAACAAAACAAACAAACAAAAAGACTATCTTAAACCAAAGCTAAAATTCAGTACCCACTTGGTAGACATACTCAACAAAAATGTTTAGTTTTGGCTCCCAAACCAAGAACTTGTTTTGAGACTCCAGTGTTCAGTGTTCTTACAGAATAAAAATGACTGGGGCAGGTAGGTGGCACAGTGGGTAGGGCACTGGTCCTGGAGTCAGGAGGACCTGAGTTCAAATCCAGCCTTAGACACATGATACTTACTAGCTCTGTGACCCTAGGCAAGTCACTTAACCCTAATTGCCTCACCAAAAAAAAAAATGACCTAAATTAATAAATCACCCATATCCTCTGGGACCAAAGGCCCACATTTTGTCAGGCATTGAACTAGTGCCAGGGATAGAATATGTGGTCCTACATGGATCAAGGCATGATGATATAGTTGGAAGAGTAACAACATGGCAGAACGGAAAGAGCTCTGGGTTCAAATTCCTGGACTTCCACTTATATGATTTTGAGCAAGTCATTCAACTTCTTGGCTTCAATTTCTCATCTGAAATGAGGAAATGAGGGGGTTGGATCAGATGAACTCCCTTTCAGTCCAACTTACGATTCTCTGACTTTTACTAACTGTGAGTACATAATCAGGTTACTTTAACTTCTAAACTTCACTTTTCTTATCTGTAGAATGGAGATAATATTTGCACTGTCTTAGAAGGGGTATTGTGAGCAAAACATTCTAATCTTTACAGGGATAGGTCAATGTGAGTTTAATAACAGGTCCTGTTTTTTATTTTTTTTACACAATTGAAAGGTTTTTTTGAGATACAGCCACCATACTTACAGACATCTGTGGTACATAATAATAAAACTCCATGAGATAGCTTTAACTCATTCCCTGTATAATTAATTTGCAGGCAGTTAAGAACACTGAACACGGTGTGTGTGTATGTGTGTGTGTATAAATATATACATATACACACATGCATATATATATATATATATAATATGCATACATATATATACATATACATAACACACATTCAGAATCGAAAGATTCACCTTGATAGGGAGAGTTGATTGTTTTAGAGCAGTTGTCTGGCGCTTCTCTGTTTTTCCATTCTTTTTCTACTCTGCTCCCATGTCCCAGAGCAAAGGAGAAGGTGGCCCACTTTTGTCTCAGCCAGTTGGATGGATTGACTTGGTTTCCATGCCATCTTTATTGCTTGCTTTTCTTTCCCCCACTCCTCTTCCCCAAATATAGACAGCACCTTTCCCCAAGGTTCCCTTCTCAATCACCCCCGGTAGATCATCAATACTGTTGCCTCTGCCAAGCAGCTAACACTCACCTCACCAAGAGCTTCCATTTCATATAACTAAACCTGAGCTTTACACCAACCTGGCTTTATTTTGTAGTTCCTGACCATAAGAGAAAGGAGTTAGGCATTAATAAAAATACTTTTTTTTCCATGAGGTCAGTGGAAGAGAGTACTCCCTTACCCAAATCTACATGTTGTCCCTGACTAGATTCAGCAACACATTAAAAAAGCATTTGTTTAGATATGATATGATCCCCATTCTCAATGATTGTTGCAGTCAAAGATGAGGACAGGACATACAAACTGAAACCCAATAAGGTTAAGGGACTTGATCTCAGTCATATAGGCAGTTAGAAACAGGGCTGGTATTTAATCTCCCGCCTTTAGATCCAATGATATTTCCTCACCATAATATATAAATGGTCAAAAACATGGGATAGCAAAATGAAAGGAGTGGCACTTTCTGGTCCTATCTCTCCTGGGGTATATGCTTTTATCCCCTTAGTATGCTGGTCACTGACTACCAGTATAATTTGGTATTGGCTATTAAAGACTTACAAAACTAGCTAGATAACAGAGTTGTTGGGAATAAGTTAGATGTGATAGAAAACACCTGGAGAGATGCCTCATTTGTCCCATCCAGAGAAATGTTTTGGTTTGACTTTTATGGTGTGGAATCAGTACAATTAAAAAAACTTTAACACTCAGTTCATTAAATAATTATATATCTGTAAAAGAAGGAAAATGACCATAATTAGCATCTTAGAATGCTTTTCAATTTTTAAATTCTTTTAAAACTTAGTTCAGTCCCACATACTTGAAAGCTTCTATTTTATCACTGTTGAGGAGGATCATCCATAGTGTGAAACAAATTGGGGCAAAGTATGTGACCTATCTACTGTAAACTGCTCAGGAATGCAGCTGCTATAGGAGGGTGAAACTCTGTGTCAGTTCATAGGGTTTTTGCTGTTGTTGTTTTAAAAGATCCAAAGTCAATATAATATATTACCACTCATGATCTCCCCTTCCCCACTACAGACACAAACACCACCATGAGGACTGCAATCCCTCCCTGTTCCAGATGTACTCCTCTGCTCTCCACTCTCATTTCAACTTATCTGTGACATCTGTTCATCTTTTCCCTTCAAATTCTGCTGCTAGTGTTTGCTGTAACTTGATTTCATATGAATAAACATTTTGTGGATAGTAGTAGTACAGAAGAATGGTAGGATGAACTGCCAGGGGTCCTGTGACCCCTTACTGAAAGCTCTGCTATTTACTTATTGTTCCATGTCACTCAATATTTTCTAATTCTGGAAGGATTTAATGAGTGATAGGGAAATATGGTTCCCTCATATGCAGTTATACATCCCCAGTGGATCTGAGTGGGGAAAGGGAGGAGGAACATCTTTCCTGGATATTTATTACATTTTAGGATCACAGGACAATAGGGAAAGGTAGAATGGGCATAGTGAATAGACGGCTTGCTTTGGGGTCAGGAAGATCTGTGTTCAAGTCTTGCCACAAGCACTATCAGTCAGTAAACATTTATTAAGCACATACTATGTGCTGGGCACGGTGCTAAGCTCTGGAGATACAAAAAGAGGCAAAAGACAGTGCCTGCCCTCAGGAAGGTGACTATGTGACCCTTGGGCAAGTCATTGAACCTCAGTGCTCTAGACAACTCTTTAAGATCAAAAGACGGGAAAAGACCATAAGAGGCAAAACGGTCACTGACTTACATTAGTTGAGAGAATTTCTTCAGCATATACCAGTAAAATCTCCTCTCCCCTAAAAATAGGGACATTAAGCTATTAGAGCTAAAAGTGCTCATACAGAACACTTTGTCCAAATCCCTCATTTTATAGATAAAGAAACTGAGGCCTAGACCAGTGAAATGATTTGTCCAAGGTCAAACAAATAGTGTGGCAGGGCAGGGATTTGAAACCAGATCTTCTGACTTGAAATCCAAAACTCTTTCCCTTACACGTTCAGAATTCTTAGAGCTATGGCTTTTTCCATCTCTAATATGTAGTGACTTGCCCTAAAGAACTTATGGCAGAGAGGAAAGTATCATATTTTTAAAAGGCTATCCATTTTTGTAAAATAATTACAGGTTAGCATAACCAGAAAAATGGGACTTCACCTTCCCCCAGGGAAGAAGAAAACACTGGAGTCTCCCGGCCTGTGGGTGTCTGAGGAGAATTGTGGGCACTGGCATCCTTGGAGCTACTGCTGGACGCGCCGTTCACTGCTGCTGAGGCTCTGAAGTATATGTCTGACTGGAAAGAAAGAGCACAGGTTTATGGAGCTGCCTAGCATTCCAGGGAGGCCTTCCTTTATTTCCCCCTCACATCTGTGGAACCTCATCTTTCTTGGCACTCCCATTACCCTCTCTGCTCCTGCCAGGCTTCTTCCCTTACCATGGTCACTTCAATTCAACACACATTTCATAAGTACCTACTATGTGCAAAGTTACGTGTTGGGCACCAGGGAGAAAAAGAGGCTGAACGGCATGGTCCCTGCCCTCAGGGAGCTGACAACCTCCTAGCATTGTACCCCAATGGGACACTTCAGAATATGACAGATGCAAAGGAAAGAGCCAGGCACAACGGAAAATCTGAGATGGTAAAGGGCAGTTTCCCTTGGGGTGGAGGAGAAGTTCAAAGAAGACTTTATAGAGGAAGATGACCTTACAGAGAAGGATTTCAAGAGGCTTTCTGTTCCCTTCTACAGGCCTTAGTTCATGTTGTTGTTTTTTCAACCCAGAATGTCACCCAGCTTCTTCCCCACCAATCTATGCGGGACAGCTACATGGCACAGTGGATAAATTATAGGGCTTGGAGTCAAAAAGACTCAAATTCAAATTTTGCCTCAGACATTTACTAGTTGTGTGACCCTGGGCAAGTCACTTAACATTTCTTAATCTTAGTTTTCTCATCTGTAAAATGTAGGTAATAATTCTGTAATGAGGATGAAATAAAATAAGATGTACAGAGCTTTGCAAAACCTAAAGTGTTATATAAATGCTAGCTATTATTATTATTGTTACTGTTACCTAGGTATGTTTAAGCCTTGGAAGCTCAAGTCACAGCTTCTTCATGCTATTTTCTTGACTCTCTCCACAGCCCATGATAATAGTTTTCTTAGACTGTATCTCTTTAGAACTTCTGTACGATACTGTCATAACTACCTCTGCCCTCTAGGCTTGTTTGTTAATTTTTGCATGTGCTATAGCCACTCTATAGAGGGCTGAAGACTCCACAGAGGGAATCTAGAATCTTGAGACAAGGTCAGGAAGAGTCATTATGATTGGGATAACAAATATTCATATAAAGAGATGGAATATGTGGAAATTGTCACATGAAAAAAACCTAGCTTAAGAGATGGTTTGTTAATGTGGCTAATAAAATTTTATCAGGGATGCCCATTTAATTAAAATTTGGTCAATTTCAATATAAAGCAGAACTGTATCTACTGTTGTGGAAAAAGAAACTTACAATGACTGATAAAGAATATTGAAAAAGGAGAGTTGAATAATAAGGCATTTGAAAGTATTTTCCCTTTGCTTCAGGAAGGAAAGTGCTTTGGTTCTTCATTTGCATTAGATAGCCTGGTGAATGGCAATTCTTTTTTTTTCTTTTGTTGTTGTTGTTTTTTGACAAGGCAGTTGGACTTAAGTGACTTGCCCAGGGTCACACAGCTAGTAAGTATCAAGTGTCTGAGGCTAGATTCGAAGTCAGGTCCTCCTGACTCCACAGCTGGTGCTCTATCCACTGTAACCACCTAAGTTTTCCTCACTTGTTAATCATTCAAGCTGTTTAACCTCTGCTAATCTGAAAGACCAGGAGGTCTTTAATTCTTTAAAGTCAATGGAAATAGCTCTAAAAACTCCTAATTCCTTTGGCTCTAATTCTATACTCAGCCCATGAAAAATCTCAAAATACAGCTATCCCTTAAGTACAGCCTGGTCTGAATCCCATAGCTTGTTCTGATCAAACCATCTCAGTGTCAACATGTAGCTGGATTGTAGGGACTGTGTCTTTTTTTTTTTTTTGGTATCCCTTGGAACATCTAATACAGCGCTCTACTCTCTGTGGGCACAAGGGTTACTCATGGACACCTACCCAACAGACTTTATTATTTGATCTTTTTCCTCCTCTGTTATATTTTAATATATGTGTTGATTTTGAATTCTGCTTTTAATATATATTCCAACTTGACCATAGGGACATAATGATAAACATTTTATTCTAAGTGACTCCTCTCCTTTTGCCTGGTAATTCATGTATGGAGTATCACAAATACATTGCATTAAAGTCTTTTAGACAGAGGTCCCAGTTCTACTCACCCTTGAAGCCACAAGCTGAAGTTGAGGCACAACAGCTGTATGGACTAAGTTTCCATTCACCACTAAGCGGATTTCGATGGAATCAGTAGTAAAGGCCAGAATGTATGGAAAAGCACACACTGCAAGGTAACAATAGGTATGAGTTACAAATACATTGGTTTCACTATGATGAAGAGTGATATCATTTCTAGTGTGATTTCTTTTATAGATATTATCTTCACATAATGGGCACTTAATAAGTGGTTGCTGAATTGAATTGAATTAAATCACAGAATTTTGGAGCTGGAAGGACCTCTAGTCCAACCCCCTGGTCTTTCAGATTAGCAGAGGTTAAATAGCTTGAATGATTAACAAGTAAGGAAAACTTAAAATGTAGACACTCCTCCAGATGCTCAAATGCTATGGCAGCTAAGAGGAACTAAGGCCAAATGAAAGAGAAGACTAAAAGATGAAAAGGCCTTTAGGACAGGCTCCATTGGAAGAATTCCTGATTTCCTTTCTCACCCTTTTTTGAGTGTAATATAATCCCTAAACTGATAAGTGACTTTATATATGATCTTAAAACATTTAGAAATACTCCAAAGAGCTTACTATGATGCAGTTTTTTTCTTACCAACAGCATAAGGAACCTGGTTCCAGCTAAAGTGGAAATCTGATGCTGAGGGTTGGATCAAAGGAGAGCCACCATTAAAAGGACACACCTTTTTATAATTGCAGCTATCTGTAACAAGAAAAAAAATGCTTATTTTTACAAAGGCAACATTATAACCAGTGACATTAAATAAAACTGCAAACTTTACAACCTTTTATAATGGGCCCATCATGGCCCAATTCTTGAAATTCCCTAGATAAAGCTGACACAAACAATATTAAAACTATAAGGTCCCAAAGACTTAGGAAGATAGTTCAGAAGAAATGTGCCTTCGATGGAAAATATCATTACATTTCTTTTATGGGGAAGAGGTGCCCACTTGGAAAAAGGCAGGATTCCCGTTTAAATGTGAATTAGTTCATGTTATCTCCTATGCTTTTAAAATTCTGTCATGGTAAGATAGAAACCGGCATATTATTGTACATTAAAAAATAGATATTTATCATTTTTCTTAACCAAAGTTGAGTATATTTTCATTTCCTTTAGTGGAGGAGGGGCTTTTGAATATGGTACTTGGGGACATCTTTTCACCAGACAGCTGGCCACTAAAAAATGCAATTTCTTAGTCATGGCCTCTCAGAAAGACAGAATGTGCAGTATGGAGGGATTACAATTGATATCATTATTGGGAATGTCCACGCCAACAAAATCACAAACCTTTTGAATTAGTGAAGTACTTGCGGACATGAACAGTTTACTAACAGCCTCAATTTTAGATCCAATTAATAAGCATATATCTTTTTGCCTATGCCACACTCATATGGCCAAATGACTCACATTCCATCTCAACAATCCAAAGACGCTTGTTTATTCTTCAATTTGAAATGGGTAAAACAGTAGGTCTCCTATGATTCTTTAAAAATATCTTTATTTAATGAGGTTGACTAAGGGAGTGGAAAAAATATTTTCTTAAATAAAAACTGAACTGCTAACATTTGGCTTCCAAAGCAGGAAACATTGCTCCTGTAAACTATCATAGCTAGCTGGGTACAGTATGCAGTAGCTAAAATGTTCCCTACTTGCATGCAATGGCCTTGGGTCAAAAGCAACTGCATTATGTTCAGTCATTTTTAAATCACTAAACAGGAACATTCCATTTTCTATTAAGAAAACTTTTTAAATTGTCTAATATAATCTTAACACATATTCTTTACAGCTTGAAGCAGCTATGTTTCTATTTAAAAAGGTACAATGTAGTAATTCCATATTTATCTAGCATCATCTAGAAATGAATTGTTTCTTGTGACTTGATTTGCCAAACCGTAACTCCTTGAACACTCAAATCAAAAATAAGTAGAAAGCATTCTAAAATGTATCACGTACTTTCTCCTGTTAGGATAAATAGCCCTTTTCCCCCACAATAACCTTCAAAGATTCATGACTTCACTGTGGGTATTATCCCTTCCATTAACAGATTAAAACTCCTCTATACCTTAGGAGATGGTCTTCATGAGTTGCTGTGGGCAGAAAAAATTCATCCTGTTGATGAAGAAATATGTATATATCTATACTATTATAGCTCCTGTTCATGATAATGACATTGAGTCATCAAGAAAAGGTTATTTTCAGTATTTATACATATATACATATTAATACATATACTGTGTATACATATACATATACATGCAAACACAAAAAAATTTTTCCTTCTTCAAAATGTCCCTTTGACATTTTGCTTTTGGGTAATTTGTCTCTTTTCCCAAAAGGTGGAATTAAGGGTATACAGTAATGACCTCCGGTAATATCAATGATTGCATCAAAGGCCTTCTGCCAAAGGGTTCTCTCACCCTCTAGCAAGTGCTTATCTGACTCCTTTTCATGGTAATCAGAGTACTTTGGCTTAATAGCAGTATTTGAAGTATTTCCATTACTTGTACGTTACTGATAAATCCACCTCATCTTTAGCTTGACTCACACTTTGATCTTACTGATGGGGTTTTACCCCCTTTTTTTTGATGGAATCTGAAAGTAAAGATAAAGATGTTCTTGCTAACACCTTAAAACTAATATGTTCTTAGTGGTACTCTCATGGCTCTTGTTTTGAAGAAAATAGAAAGATGATGAGGAACATATCAGCTTGTTACACGTTTTTCAAGAGAAAAAGAAGTTATTAGTTCAAAGTTCCCCCCACAGCTTCTTGAAAGAGCTATAGTTCACAGAAATAATTTCCCAAAAGTCTTTCAAAGTATAAAATAAGTTCTGTTACTATTAACTATTTAATCCAGTTAGCATATTAAGTTTTAGATAGGCCAAATTTTTGATACAGAAGAATTGTAGTGTGTGTGTGTGTGTGTGTGTGTGTGTGTGTGTGTGTGTGTGCGCGCGCGCTGAACTGTGGCCCCTTTTGTAATCAATGTATTAAGTACAGATGTACTTGAACTTGGAGGGCTTTTCTAAAGAAGGCCCTGGTGTGACATGAAAGAACACTGGGCAGATCTGGGGTCTGGTTTCAGTTTTGGCAATAAATGGCATGTGACCTTGGAGCAACTGACTTTGTTTTCTCTGAGCTTGTTTCTTTAACTGTAATAAAAAAAGAGGGTAAGACTAGATAATCTTTAATGATTCCCTCTACCTTTAAACTTCTATGCCTTGGAAAATAATTTTATCTTTTTAAATTATCACAAAGGTTTCTACTTAAATTTGTGTTTTTATTATATGACATTAAACATATGAGGCAGGGTGGCATAGTGGAAAGAGAATTGGCTTTGGAGCAGGGAAGCCTTGGGTACTAGTGTGACTGGTCAGTCACTTAATTTCTCAATGCTCTAGGCAACTCTCTAAGCTTAGAAGCTACAGAAAAAGTGCTGACCTGAATCGGCAGATGAAGTTTCTTCATCTGGGACTTCCCTATTTCAATAAAATCATAGTTTTAGCCTCTCTCCTCACTGTTAACCACATTTTGATGGATTCGCAAGCTCAGTGACGTGGGTATGCTCTCCAGTGGTACAGACAGCAATCAATGACACATCTGACTCTTTCATGTCCTCCCCCAAATCCATTATTTGGCATCTGCTCACCATGCTGGGGGCATTCCTCTTAGGAGCCTTGCGTGGATACCAATGAGACATCAGGGCTGTTCACTGGTTTTCCCTTGCTTGTCTTATATTCCCAGCCCACCTCCTTTTCTGGACATTCATTTCTTTGATGGTATCTTTTATACTTACAGTACAATATACTCTTTTTGGATGACTGACAACTTTAATTTTTTGAAGAAGATGACTTGGAGCCATACATTGTCATAAGAAGCATACTGGTGTTTCAAGGAGAGGCTTGAGGTCATTAAAAGTACTACACAATTTTCCAAAGGCACACTCTCTTCCTGTTCAATTTTGGGTCCAATTCATTGTCCATTTTCAGTGTCACATATGTGTGTGTATATATTCCAGTGTTTTATATATACGTGTGTGTGTGTACACGCGTGTATACACATATATATACACACACATATATACAAAACACTGGAAACGTGTATATATAATATATATGTATATACACACACACTGATATACCATCTCTACAAACTGTCCCTCTAACTGTATCTCTTAATTTCACAAGAGATATTTTTGTCTATCCTCTCCCCTTTTGTACATCGTATGGACAGTGAGGTCAAACTTTTTTGAGTAATTACAGCAGTTTCTACAATGTTTGGGAACTTGATGCAATTAGCATAATGTCATTGGCTAATAGGGGCATCACTATTTATAGGAAATCTCTCTTCCATTTGGATTCTGGATCAGACATCCTCCATGACAGTGGCAAATACCTTTGGAGTGAATGTCTCCGTGGTTTATTCTTTTTAGCCTTATTAATAATCAAGGGTCAAAGTTCTCTCTGTTGTTTTATCTTTCAAAGAACTTTGTATGATTTTGACATATGCCTAGGAGGGAAGGAACAAGCTTTTTTTTTATGATGCCAATTTTAAATAGATTTTATTCTCCAGGACAAGAATTGCATTTCTACTTGTTTACAGTACTAATAAAGTGCTATGTTGTTTACTTCTCTCCCTCTGCACACATTCAAGTATTCAGAATGCCCAGATTTACACAGTAGCTTACATGTTACTTTTAAACTGCTGCCTCGGCTATAGTTTTGAGTCCTTCAATTTTTGGAAAGCTGATGGAATGCTCTTTCTTCCAGTGTGTTTAGTCAACTTCCAGATGGGGCTGCTCCACCTCCTGGGAACCCACCAGGCATGCCTCTTGGCATGCCCCCTGCACTCTGGTATAGCTTGGTAATGATAGGATTGCAGACCTTCTCCAATTCTTTCTACTGATGATCAAATTCTTCCTTCTCAGCAGTCTGGTTCTTATCCAGCCAGCTGATTATTTCATTACATTTGTCAAGGATCTGTTTGTCTTCATCACCAATTTTGCCTTGTGGTTTTTCATTCTCTATGGTAGCCTTCATGTTGAAAGCCTAAGATTCAAGAGAATTCTTGGAAGATTCTTCGTGTCTCTGTTTCTCATCCTCAGCCTTGTATCTCTCAGCCTCCTGGACCATACGCTTTCTGTCTTCTTTGCTCAGATGACCCTTATCACTGGTGATGGTGGTCTTGTTCTTGTCTGTGCTCTCATCCACAGCAGAAACACCGAGGATGCCATTTGCATCAATGTCAACTTTTACTTCAATCTAGGGACACCCCTGGGTGCTGGGGAGATTCCTGTGAGCTCAAACTTGCCAAGCAGGCTGTTATCCTTGGTCATTGCTCTCTCACCTTCATAAACCTGAATAAGCACACCAGGCTGGTTGTCTGAATAGATGGCGAAGGTCTGTGCCTGCTTGGTGGGGATGGCGGCATTACGTTTGATCAGAACTGTCGTAACTCCACCAGCAGCTTCAACTCCAAGGGAAAGAGGAGTGACATCCACCAGCAGCAAGTCCTGCACATTCTCACTTATCTCCAGACACAACCGCAGCCTGGACAGCTGCACCACAGGCAACGGCCTCATCAGGACTGATCCTCTTGTGGAGCTCCTTGCCATTGAAGAAGTCTTGCAGAAGCTTCTGGATCTTGGGGATGTGAGTGGAACCACCCACCAGAATGATGTCATGAACCTGTGATTTATCTA